CAGTGGTTCCCCTGAGACGGTGCTGTTAGAACTCAGTGGTTCCCCTGAGACGGTGCTGTTAGAACACAGTGGTTCCCCTGAGACGGTGCTGTTAGAACACAGTGGTTCCCCTGAGACAGTGCAGTTAGAACACAGTGGTTTCCCCTGAGACAGTGCAGTTAGAACACAGTGGTTCCCATGAGACAGTGCAGGTAGAACTCAGACGGTGCTGTTAGAACTCGGTAGCACATGTGTCATTGAAGGAAGCTGCATGGTGCCATGTTTAAAGCACTTGACTGACCTCAAGGTTGGCTTGAACATGACATCACTTCAGCAGACGAGGCCTCTGCTCATCTCTGCAGAGATGCCGGCGCTGAGCCCGTGGGCATAGAGCCAGCCCTGTAGCAGATCGACTGGTCTACCTCTGTAATGATTGATTGTTCTTTTTGAGCACCATGTTAGTGATTTCCTGTTTACCAGACGTTTTACCCCTTTGAGGCTCACCTGTCAGCTCCCCGCTCCCCACCTTGGCTCTGGGGCTACCCAGGAGACTGGGCTTCACTTGATCACATGGGTCAGATTAGAGCCAGCCCCTCTTGGAGATGAGCTTGCATTGCGCCCCCACCCCCACCCCTGGTCCTGGCTCTACCCTAGTCTCGCCTAAAGTGCTGGGGAGACTGAATTTTCACTCCCTGCAGCAGGGTTAGCAAACTGGCCCAGGTGCCCCCTCCCTGTGTGTAAATACTAGACAACCCCTTTGTTCATGTACGGAACTCAAACTCGCTGCCATTGAGTCAAAGCCGACTTGCAGGGACCCTGTAGGACAGGGGAGATGTGCCCCTGTGGGTTTCCGAGACAAGCTCTTTTTAGGGAGCTGGAAGCCCTGTCTTCGTCCTGAGGAGCACCTGGTTTCGAACTGCTGACCTTGCGCTAGCAGGCCGATGTCACACAAGGGCTCCTTTTTGCACATAAGGGCACTTAAGGAAGTTAGTGGGAGATGGAGTTGAGAGGTCATGGGGTTTTTTTCCAGCAGCAGAGGTAGGTGAGGGGTGACGGGCACACACGTGGCCGGGGATGGAGAAGGGCCTCTCACCCCGCCGCTGCATGCCGAAAGCCCTTTCAAGTTGCCAGCAGCTCTTCCCAGGGGGACTGTCTTTCCCGGGGATGGCTCTGGGTGCCTCCGGGCTGGGTGGGGGAGCTAGGTCTGCTTCCTTCCACAGCTGAGGGTCTCTGGGGCGCTGCTGTCTCCCCTCAACGGCTTGTCTCCCTCCCCCTCCCTCCCTCCCTCTTTCTCTGCTCTCCCCAGCCTTTCCAGTAGACTTGTCCCTCTTTGGCACATTTGGAAACTACAGTTGATAATGACTGTGGACTGGGGTGCATTGTTTTGTTTTGCAAAAACACCCAAGGTAAATATCGTCCCCTTCTCTTTGATTTGCTGTCTCAGACCAGAGTTTTTGGGGGTTTTTGAGGGAGGGCTTCTCCTGTCACCCTGTGTGTATGGAGGGGGGTGGGGTGCT